TTGTCTTACTAGAAATCTTGGACCCTAATAATTTAGTTAATGTGAGAGCAAATGGTAAAATGTGAAGTTGAGTTTTGTCATCTGCTGCCACAAACAGTGTTTCTAAAGTACACTTTACTCAGACTCCTGGACATTATTGTAAGAGTTAAGTTGGCAATGAATTGATTGCTATATAAGAAGACTAACCAATAACTATTTTCTCCTTAGGGTAACAGAAACAGATGAGCGGAAGTTGTCTAAATGGGTCTAAAACATGCTATATTTTACTTACTTTCTTATGTGTAGTGATCGAATGAAAATATTATAGATTTTTCAACCGAATGTAAGATGTTAAATAAAACTTAGGAAGTGAGTGTTGACAGGAAATTTTATAACACTTTAGCATCATCTTAATGTTAATTTTTCTAACTTTTCTTCTACTGATCATGGTGAAGATGGCATATTTAGATTAAGACATCATCATTATAATCATCCATAGATTTTATATTGAAATCTGTTGGTCCTCTTTTATATTCACAAAATTGAGAAGGACACACAGCTTTCTCTTTGGTGTTGGACACATCGCATTCTGGTGGCAGTAGTATAGGATGGCTTTTGTGATGATTACTGGATACATCAAACATATTCAAACATTACTGGATACATCAAACATATTCATTCCGTGCTCATTTTATTTTCAAGAAAAGAATTCTCAATAAGCATATACTTAAAACGGAATGAAAAGTACATTTGGAAAATGAGCCATGAAGCCAATGTGATTGTGGGACAGGCTTGTGAAGCAGCATGACCCCCGCTGAGATGCAGATTCCTAGCTCAGCTGAGGGATTTCACGGACCATAAACATCAGGGCAGAGGTAGAGCATTTGTTTTTGAAGAAGAAGATAGTTACATCGCCATCCTGTTCCCTTCAAATTAATTCACATCTACTCCAGTGAATGGAGGAATAAGAAGGAGCTGCTTTCGTATTCAATCAAAAGTGTGAACATACTTGTTTAGGAAAATAGATGAGCCACATAAGCAGAGCAGGAGCCAGAAGGAGCTCTGGGTACACACGCTGCTGATTTTGTCCCAGCCCAGAACACTGCTTCTGTGGTTGTAACTTTTAATTTAAAATGATAATAAGCCAAAAATTTGATTGGATTTGCACATTCAAAGTAGGTTGCAAGGGGCTGGTGAGATGGCTCAGTGGTCTAAAGCACCTACTAACAACAAGCTTAGCAAAGCATCAGGGACCGCGGTTCGATCCCCCAGCACCACATGCCAGCCAGCCCTGCCCCCTGGTGGGCTGAGCTGGCCACACACACACACACACACACACACACACACACACAAAATAAATTTAAAAAAAAAAAAAAACAAAGTAGGTTGCAAGCAGTTTTCCTCCTGGAGTGCTCACACTAGGAGTCCTAGTGCTAATATCTTTCACAGATCTAAATGCATTGAGTTCATTCGAACTCATCTTAGTTGTTTAATATAATCTACTGACATTTACACACCTCTAAAACATTTGGTAGATGGCTCCTAGGAACATGAGCAAGCTGATTCAGTGAAGATTTTTGGTTTTTTTTTTTTTCTAGTGTCATAATTTTAACCAAATTTCAGTATCTCTTGGCTTCCACTTTGTTCAATATAGGTTCCAATTGCTATTCAGACTTTGAGATATCATTTTAAGAGCTAAGTTGACAATGAACTGATTGCTATGTAAGAAGACTAATCAGTAACTTTTTTTTCTCTTTAGCATAACAGAAACAGATCAGTGTAAGTTCTCTAAATGGGTCCAAAACACGCTACATTTTACCTACATTCTTGTGTGTAGTGTTCAAATTAAAATGTTACAGATTTTTCAAGATAGCAATGGAGATTTGGTTTCTTGTTTTTAGATCTATTAGAAGTGCCTAAGATTCTCAGTGAAATCATTTAGGGTACCAAAATATCTCAAAAGATGCCTAAATTTATATTCAGGAAATGTTAAGAGATTCCTCAGAAAACCCAGGGGGTAAGACAGATTCCCATGTGAGTGTGCCGTAATACTGCAGCACAAGAGAATTAATTTTAATTTTCAGGATATGAGGATCGCGTATAGAAAGAAAGTGTGCAGAGGGGTCTGAGGTACAGCTCTGCGGTGGAACACATGGTCAGCATGGGTCAGGCCCTAGGCCCAGCCCCAGGGGTGGGAGGGTTGCCAGGAGACTCCCCCTGTCATTTCTGGATCACAGTGGAAACAGATACAGTTTCAGGCTGCTGGAGGCCATCAGTCACTCCAGCTAACTATTTTATTGTAGGACATTTGGTGAAATCATTCCTATTGTAAGAAGTCAAGCATGAGTTCTTAAGTAACCATCTGAAAAAAGAGCCATGTGTTGTAATGGCCTGCTCATCTATCTTTTTCTGGGCTGAGAGTGCGTGTGAGGGTAGGATCCATAGCAGGGTCTCAGGTCATCTTTCCTTGCTCTCTTCTTTCTTTTCTTCCTTTCCTCTTTGACATCTCTTGAGTGTTCCTGTCCCTGCCCTTGGCTGTGACAACGTGGTGGCAGCAGACCAGCTCAGGACTTCCCTGGAGTAAATACTCTTTGCTGGGGAGGGCAGGGACGTACAGAGACAAGAATACAGCGCAGAGTGCTCCGATGCTGGCAGAGCCTGTGAGGATCCAGTAGGGACCTGGGAGACCACAGAGGCCGGGAGGCAGCTGAGGCAGCTCTGGGGAAGGAGCAAAGCCTGAGGTCAGAGCAGAACATGCAAAGGGAGTGAACAGGGTTTCTGGGAAGGGGTACATGTAGGAAGTTCCTCTCAGAAAATGTTCCTGGGAAGAAAACAGAAAACGGGGGGGCGGGGATTGAAAGGCCATGTGGCCATGTATGGAGAACTGGACACCCTCTGCTCCTGATGGCTGGCTTTCTTTATGAGTGGAAGGGGAGATGAGCACAGCAGGAGTGCTGATGCAGAAAATCAGGGGAGAAAGATGAAGAGGGGCTGGAGGTGAGAGTGGGGATGGGGATATTCTGTCTTTAAGGAACTCGGGACTGAGAGCTGCTCCTGGGCTGGTGTAGGTCCCTCAGACACCGTCCTCACGTGGGACAAGAGCAGGAAACCTAGCAGTGTATGCTGGAAGATGGGCAGCTGCTAGGTTTGGCTTGGCAACTGCTTGATCTCTGTGATACCATCAGCCAAAGTGCAAGACAGAGAGATGTGTGGAGGCAAAGACTCCTAGGGAAGGGACGGGGGAGGGAGAGGGAGGGAGGGGG